GCTAAGGCAGATGTCATAGCCTTACATCTCTAAAATTGAAACTAGCAAAAAGCCCTGTATCTCAGTTCCAACGTGAAGGTCATCAGTTTGAAGCCCAAAAGTAGTTCAGAAACTAGTGCAGTTCACCTTCTTGAATCTACTCTGTAGGAAGTGATGATATACATATTCTTTTTCTAAAACTTAGAAATGAGACAGAGTACACTCAATGTACTCATTTAGAGATGAGATTTCATAGACGTTAATTACTGGGCAAGCTTGGTATCTCCTGTATGCAAGTGCAGAAGCTGCTTAAGTGCACATACTTCTGCAGTAATCTTCACCAGAAGTGCAGGTACAATCCAAATGGATCACAGGGATCGCATAATAGAGGTGTATCTTATCCAAGACCTAGCAGGAGATGTAAGGTCTGAGTCTGCTTTACTTGGCCGTGGTGGGGTTGCTCTGTGTCCCATGGGAGTCATTGCCAGATCTGCAACCACTGAGAAAAGGTTCAGTCCTTCCACCTGCTAAGCCATTTGTTCCATACCTGTGCTATGGTGCTGGTACCATGCACCTTCTCAGAGGCCTACATCTTATTTTAGAAGGTAGGGAAAGAAGTTAACAGTGAGACTGAAGCTCTTCAAATTAGGAAGCTTCAGAAGGTAGCCGCAGGCTAGACATGAATTTTCTTGTAGACTGAGTAACAAAAGATACTGTAGTTTTATTCTAAAGCAGTGATCCTAGAATCATAGAATCAGCCAGGTTGAAAAGGACCTCTGAGATGACAGACCCTCAGCACATCTGAGGACATGCTGAGGATTGATGATGTCCTGCTCTAGTTCTCTTAGAAAGTTAGTCTGAAGGTAAGCCAAAAAACATGTTAGAAGTCAGTGCAGGAAAGTTCATAGTCAAAAGAGTCTCTTGACTCTAACCTGTGATAAACAAGGTTACTAATCAATACCAGGTGTTCCTCTTGTAATAGTATGTCAAGACCTTGGAGGAAGAGTGAACCTTCACTGTACTAAACATTGCATCCTACACCTGTATAATAAATAAAGTGATTCTTCATCCGATACTGTCAGTTAAGTTGTAGACAGGACTGGCACTCTGAAGCTCTTAGAAGTACTTGCTGAGTGTCTTGTACTCTTTAACGGTACCAGGCAGACACATATCTTTCTACCAACTGAGTTTTATTTTAGAAGTTCTGCAGCTTAGTTAGCCAGTATGTCTCTCAATCTGAGGACAGGTGTTGGACAAGGCATATCCTTACTTTTTGGTGCTCATCTTGGAGGAGAATCAGATGTCGAAAAACCAGGAATATCTCCAGGTTTAACCAGTTAAGGTTAAATTCTCTGCCTAGCCATTTATTTTGTTTGTGACTCAGGGCTAGGTCCACAAAATAACTTCTGTGGGGTCTCTGCTTCACCCTCTCAAGCCTAAAGGTTTGACTAGTGGGGAACACATCTTTTTGTTGCCAAAGTTAATAGACTAACCAAAAATGTACAGCATATTTCAAAACTGAAAAGAATAGATCTCTCCAGGAGATCTTTTCACCAGCTTTCTTTAGAAGACATTTTAAAAGTTCATTATTTTTCAGAGAAAATATGATACTGAATATTCCAGCTTAGGTAACATCAGTGGGACTGCATGCTCTATGTAAAACTCCACATACTGCAACAGGCACAATCTTAACAATCTGAGAAGATGTTCATTATTTTACAACTTATATCTTTGGCTTATTTTAAAAGATATTATATGCTACAACAACAGCTACCGGATGATAACGTAATGCAGCTTGTAGCATAGATACATGCCATAGGGAAAAGCCATTATTGTCTTTACTAAGTGAAATCTGTGGATAAAGACGTCTTTCTTATACAATTTTCAAATATTTTATAGGAATATAAAATGCATTATTTGACAGACTGAAGTATGCCATTATGTAACCTTCAAAATTAAAGTACTACTAGAACTGCATAGCATTCAAAACAGCATCAGTTAGAATTAAGTTTGCATTATGTTTCAACTGCTATTTTCATGTAGTTTCTCAAACAAATTCCTTTTGGGCTAAAATGGCCTGATGTTCTTCTTTGGATCAAAGATCTTACCACACACACCACCACTCCCCATTTCCCATTTAAAGCAAAATCAAAGCACGTTTGTTACAGGACTGTGGAAATGACAGGGCTGGGGGAGGGGGCTGTGTTTCTAACTAAAGCTTTGTTTTAATTAGGAAAACAAGTTAAAAGAATTAACTTCAAAGTTGGACCACTTTCTAGTTCTTATGTGAGACTTAAGAGTCCAGATGAATTTAATGAAAGCTCCTTGTCTCAAGGCAAGGAGACTTCCAACTGGGAATTCAAAAGGTGCACAGGCACTTTCTGCCCTCTGTGGCTCTACATACCATTACAGAAGGGCAGTTGAGAATGGTGATATTTAAGACCACTCTGACTTCATAAGGCCATATAGATAAAAGCTTATCTTGAAGACATGCTTCAAAGCTTAGTTTCACTGGGCATCAAGCCCATTAGCTAAAAAAAAAACAACAGTAGAAATCCTTTGGGAAAACTAGACTTCTTAGTCAGTTTTATATAGTATTTCAGTGCTATTGTAGCAATTACAAAAGAATATCTCACATATTCCCTGTGCATTTTGGGGAACATCTAAGTAGTGGGCATCCCATATGGACTGTTTCAGGCTATTGCATACAGTTTTCCCAAGGCCTGTTTTGTATGTGCATAAAATCCATCTAATTTCAACCCCTACTCTTCGAGATAACTTAGTGCTAAACAAAAAATCTTTATTGTGAAATTAATAAGAAGGAATTTCTGAAAGAAACAAATTACTTGACAGGAGGAAATAATATACTGTAATTTTGAAAGGTGGGTTGAGCTACTTGAATGCTGATGTGATAGCTAAGTGATAATGCAACATTTGCAGTAAGAGGGTTTGTCATTTGCACAGTTACAATATTCAGCTGGTGGAAGATATGTGCTTTTATGATAAAACTTGTGGAGCCAGCTATAGGGTTCAAAAGATCATGCAAAGAGAAGACTGATGAGTAGATTTGGTTCAGTATGATAACGAAGGACTGGGCGTAGACCATGAGTGTTACAGAATAAAGCTGTATTTATGTATGTAAATATTATTATAGTATGGTAATACTGAGGTGGCAAGTGTGCGTTTGTTCTTGAAAGGTGTTATGAAGGTGGAATTTGAAGAACTGTGGGAAAAGCTTTACTGAAGTCCAGGTGGACAACATCCACTAAGTGGGTCACCCTGTCATAGAGGAGATCACGTTGGTAAAGCAGGACCTGCCTTTCCTAAACCCATCTGGCAGGGCCTGATCCCCTTCAGTACTTCACGCACTGTGTAATTGCACACAAGATGGTCTGTTCCATAACCTTGCCTGGCTCTCAGATCAGACTAACAGGCCTGTTTTTCACTGGATCCTCCTTCCAGTCCTTCTTGTGGATGGGCATCACATTGGCCAACCCTCACTCATCTGGGACCTCCCTGATTAATCAGGGCTGCTGGTAAATCATGAAGAGTGGCTTGGTGAGCTCTTCTGCTAGCTCTGTCAGTAGCCTCAGGTGGATCCCATCCAACACCATAGACTTGTGAGTGTCTAGGTGGCTCAGCAGGTCACTAACTACTTCCTTCTGGATTATGAGAGATTTATTCTGCACGCCGTTCCTGTCTACCAGTTTAGGGGTCTGAGTACCCTGAGGATAACTGGTCCTTTTTGTTAAAGATTGTAGCAAAAAAAGACATTAAGTACCTCGACCTTTTCCTCATCCTTCATGACAGTGTTTCCCTCTGCATCCAATAAAGGTTGGAGATTCTCCTTGATCCTCTTTTTCTTATTAATTTATTTGTAAAAACATTTTTTTGTTATCTTTTACCATGGTGGTGAGATGGACTTCTAGCTGGGCTTTCACCTTTCTAGTTTTCTCTCTGCATGCCCTAACAACATCCTTGTACTCTTCCTGAGTTTCCTGCCCCTTCTTCCAAGAGTCATAAATCCTCTTTTATTTTTTTCCCCTGAGTCCTAGTTAAAGCTCTCTGTTCAGCCTGGCCAGTCTTCTTCCCCACTGCTAGCTAAGAGCTGAGAAGAGCATCTCACTGATACATCTGGATAGACTTGAGAGATGGGCTGATTCCAATGGGATGAAGTTCAGTAAAGCCAAGTGCCGGGTCCTGCACTTTGGCCACAACAACCCCCTGCAGCGCTACAGGCTGGGCACAGAGTGGCTGGAAAGCAGCCAGGCAGAAAGGGACCTGGGGGTAATAATTGACAGGAAGCTCAACATGAGCCAACAGTGTGCCCAGGTGGCCAAGAAGGCCAATGGGATCTTGTCCTGTATCAAAAATAGTGTGGCCAGCAGGAGCAGGGAAGTGATCCTTCCCCTGTACTCTGCGTTGGTGAGGCCACACCTTGAGTATTGTGTTCAGTTCTGGGCCCCTCAGTTCAGAAAGGATATTGAGGTGCTGGAGCGGGTCCAGAGAAGAGCAACAAGGCTGGTGAAGGGACTGGAGCATAAGTCCTACGAGGAGAGGCTGATGGAGCTGGGGTTGTTTAGCCTGGAGAAGAGGAGGCTCAGAGGTGACCTCATCACCGTCTATAACTACCTGAAGGGAAGTTCTAGCCAGGTGGGGGTTGGTCTCTTCTCTCAGGCACTCAGCAATAGGACAAGGGGGCACGGGCTTAAGCTCCGCCAGGGGAAAATTAAGTTGGATATCAGGAGAAAATTCTTTACAGAGAGAGTAATCAGGCATTGGAATGGGCTGCCCAGAGAGGTGGTGGATTCACCATCCCTGGAGATTTTTAAACGCAGATTGGACGTGGCACTGAGTGCCATGATCTAGTAAATGGACTGGATTTGGACCAAGGGTTGGACTCGATGATCTCGGAGGTCTTTTCCAACCCAATCGATTCTATGATTCTATGATTCTATGATCTCACATCAGAATAACAGGTTACACATGTACTAGTACAGCATCTGGCATGGACAGCATATCTACATACTGTGAAGCTGGTTTAGCTCCCAAAGCAAGAGGCCCATACAACTCATTGGAAATGTTCCCTGCCCATGCCTAGCAGCTACCTAGGAGAGTCCAGATCAGGGGCTGGTCTGGCAGGTCAGTAATTCAAATATTTGAGCTCGAACAGTAAAAACAAGCCCTGGAGGAGGTGATTTTTCTGTTATAGATAATACTTTGGTTTCTCTGCATACCCATATCTTTCATCTTTCATTGTCCAAATTTCTCTTTAAGACACATTTCTAGCAGTTCTTTCAATGACTGAGCAAATTAGACTTTATTATATTCGCTGATGTGAGAGAAGCACATTTTAGTATTACTCATCTTACCTAACTTCAGTAGTCATAGTTAGACAATCTAACTAACAAGCCAGAGAGCAAAAAGCACCTAAAGGGTGATTTGTTCCATCCTTTCTTAACAATTTTTTTTTTCAATGAGGATTACATCACTCCCTGGAGGGAGCTAAGTCCCTACTGAAACAGAGCCCGTCTTTCTGAGGAAAGTAACTCTTAAACTTAAGTCATGGATTTAGAGAGAAAACTGTAAGTTGTTATTGCAGTATTTGCAGTATTTTATGATACAGCTTTATTTGCAGAGTGCAGAATCACTTCTTTATGACAACTTTTGTTTTGAAGCATAACAACAAAAGGGGCAATTATGTTTGAAAAATTAAGAGGCAGCCACTATTTGATGAAAAGCCAGTACTGCTTAATGTATTAGAACTTTCAGAAAGAGAATTAATTAAGTCTGTAAAATAACCTGTCGCTGTACTACAAACAACATGCTTCGAGATATAATGTGAAGGGCTGTGAGAAGAGCAATACCACTAGATGTCGCCATCCTTCCACCCAAAATTCATCAGCAACTGGCCTCATAAAATCTGAAGTCATGATTTGCCAGCTCTGTTGCTTTATATTGCAATCAAAAGTTATGTGGTATTATTTGTTTCTGATGGCATTGTATTTAGATAGTTCTAAAATCCTAATTCTCAGGTGAAAACCCGGTTTTGGGGTTGAGGCTGGCCCAGATTCATGAATCTAAGTGGAAACACTGATGGTTAAGTTCACCCAATAATGCTACTGCAGCTCAGTCCAGCTGGCAGTGCACTGTTGGAGAGTATGAAGTCAAGATCCTATTCCCATCTCTTCTACTGATGTACTGTATGACTTTGGCAAGCCATTTCACCTTAGCTTTTCTGTTTTCAGTTTACTATAAACACTAGTTTCCTCCATGCAGGAACTAAGCCAGAAATGTTGTTTGTTGGAACATCTTTATCTTAATTCAGTGACAGGTATTGCACAAATGGTCTGAAAAAAATAGTCATATAGATCCAGCTGAGAAAAATGCTGGAGAGAGAGATCCACTCCCTAATCTAGACTTACTTATTATCCCCCATACTGAGCAATCACTGAAACTTTCCTGGAGTCAGAGCTGGGATTAGAGGACTTGTTGGATGTACTTAGTACAGGACATCTGAAGTCATCAGTTCCTGCTCCCTCTCATATTATTCAATGAATAACATTGCATTCAGGTTTAAGTTTGTAATATCATATCTGATAGAGATAGGAGCTGAATTCAATTAATCTCCTGGATAGGCCAGTCATCTTTTATCTGCTCTGATCCAGGGTGGAGTTTCCTACTTATTTTTTTTCACACTGTCTTTCACAGAAATACAGTTAAGTGGAACTTGATAAAAATGCCTCATTGACTGGATCTCTATTTTCTCATGGATAAATCCACTCATTTGGAGCTTAAGGGGAAATACTTACTCTCATCTTTAACAGGACAAGGGAGCAAATGCAACCTTCCCTGCATTTGAATTTTCTCCTGTCTTATTCCATGAGGTGCTTTTATGCTTCAAAGACAAATGCACAGAATAACTGCACAATATCCACAACAGAAAAGACTATAGCTAAGGTAAAATTAAGTACATATATTCCAACCCCAGAACCAACTAAATATATTCCAAATGGATCTACTAAGCTCTCATTTTCCCACTGGCAGTCCCCTCTGACTCCTGCAGTAATCCTCACCTTGAGCTGAGCTCCTATATTATCAGGTATGAGCAGGTAAGACCCCAAACATGAAAGGCTCCTTTCACATTCTGATGGGAATACCATATTTTGGATTTGAAGAAGAAAAGGATTTTTTGAGCCAAATGGCCTGTTCCATTACCACTGCAGGATGAATTACTAGAAAGACAAAAAGTGACTGATGAGGAAAAGTACAAAGGTTACTATAAAAAGAACATAAACTGTCAGCCCTAATAGGGATAGTGATTATATTTAATTACATATTTAAATGTTGAACAGCTTGACTTAGATATGCTTGTGTCTATCAGTATATGTTACCAATGAAAGGCTGTGCCAAACACTTTTCTTCATCCTGTCAGCACACTAGGTGACAACACAAAATAGTAGTCCACACTATTTCCCACAGGCTGTTCAGTTTGGAATGAGGCACAGGATGGAAGACAATGCACAGAGTGCAGAAAAAGCAGCAATAAACCTGAATAAGATTTCACATACTTTAGTTTAAGATAGGCACCATGTAAGTACAATCCCAACCCATCATGCATAATTTTCTTGCAAACAGACAGGTCTAGTGTTTTACACTCTGAAATGAACAAAGCAATAATTTTTATATTCCAGGATTAGATTTTAAATGTGTTTGTAAAACAATAACAACAGGGATACTTTCAAAATAGAGGAACTCCATAGTTTTTTGTGACAAAGTTCATGAACATACACATAGGAGGTTTTAGATGAGAATGAAGGATGCAAATTGACATTTTATGAGTTTTTTTCAAGAAATCATAAACTTTAAATGAGCTCCTAAAACCATCATCTAAGATGTTCAATGGGCAGCCCTAGGGCTAACCAAAGAAACATTAACTATTTTTACTTTTTGCAGTTTTAAAGTTTACTTACGTTGTATTTTATGTAGTCATTTGAAGGAGAGCTTTGGTAAAATAAATCTCATCAATTTATTAGTATCTACACCTAAGCAGGTATTTACATTAGCTAAATTGTCCAGACTACCTGTATAATCCAAGGATATTTGGTAAACAGAGTCAGTGTGGTCTAGAAGGCAATTTCTCTCTCTTTGGAGCAGACACCTACTGAGTAAGCTCTCAGCTATTCTCTGAAATGGGAAATTGTGTGTCCAGTCGCCATAGCAGACATGGTAGACATCAGAGTTGAATCCATCCCTGATCACTTACACAGATAGTATAATTTCCTCAATAACATATCAGGGTTGGACAAAGCTGGCTAAAGGTACTTTAGCAGTGTAGGCAAACTCGACCATTACTGTGACATGAATAAGGCTATTTTTTCTGGCACAGAAATGAGGCAGTACTTCGCTTTCTGGAGGAAATGCTCTGGTCCTATGACATAATCTCCTTTGCATGCCCCTGCCCCTCTCACAGCCATCCCAGCAGCAGCTGGCTTACTTTGGGGTTGTGATTTATCTACAGCAAGAATATGGATGGGTCATTGTTCCTGCAGCAAGTGTGCAACTCTGGGCCTTTATAGTGCTGAGGTACAACCCACTGCTATAGGAAGCAATGAAAAGTCTGCATTTTCATTCAGAATATTCTGAAGTAGATTTGTGCATCATTCAGGTTTCTGAAAAGACTCTTTTCATTAGTTAGTTACTAACTAATAGCAAGTATTTAGATAAAACAGATTGCAGCTACCAGAACTGAAGGGATAATTAAAAAAGCAACTTTGTTTTCTGTCTGGATTTTGAGACATTGGAGTCACTCACAACGCATTTTTTTAATAGTTCTCCACAATTATATGAGACAGAAACTTCCTGTAAAACACTTACTTTTCCTCAAAAGAAAAAAATTTAATATTTTGATGGCAGTCCAGAATGGGAATGAGTTTCAACAAATCAAAATTTCCTGTTGGAAAATGTATCTCTTTTCCCCTAAATTTGGGCCTTTACTAGAATGACACCTGAAATGTTGTGATCTCTAATATACTTCCTTATGCCTTCACTGTACCTTTCTTTGCGCCTAGCAATTTGCTCTTTATCTCATTCATTTTTCCAGTTTTCTTCTTCTCAGATGTTAAATTAAACACTAAGCCTGATTTGCTTTTTTCATTCTCACATTTCTTTCATAAAAATAAGATGCTTTTAAAATCCTGCTTCTGTCACACATGGCCTGTTATGTATCAACAAATTGTATTTTTGTTTGATTCCAGAAAAAGTGGAGTCAGCAGTTGGAACCAGACAATGTCCTTCATTTTTCTGTTTTTATTTGACAGCATGGTGTACAGGGTAGAATATTTATAGCATTTATTGTTCTTATATTTCTCTTCCACACCAAAGTATCTCCATTTCAAATTAACTGTTTGGTTTAGGGCTTTAATCTAAAAAAAATACATATTGAGATTACTTTAGTTCTACTCTAATTTTACTTTCTATTCCTTAACAAAATCTAACTCTGTCCTCCAAGATGTATCTTTCTCTGGATTTCAGAATACCTTTAAAAATTTAATTCCAAAAATGCTTTTGAAAAGCCCAGCTTCCCTCAGTTTTACTTTCTGAGTGTCTAAGCTCCCAGTTTTCCCATTCAAACAGAAGGAAATACAGCTCTAGTCAGGGTAGACGGAAAGCCTGGTCTTCCTCACTACTAGGAGCATGTCTAAGCTTATCCTTTGACATAGATATCTTACTTTTCGGCACAAAGTCAGTAGATAGTGTTAAAATACCGGCAGTAACCTGTACCTGGACTTACTTCTTACAGCAGGGAGGGCAGAGTAATGGTAGAACACATACACTGAGATTTGTAAAGTCAAAGGCTTTGTATTTCATAGAATCACAGAATCATTTAGGTTGGAAAAGATCTCTAAGATCAGCAAGTCCAACTGTTAACCCAGCACTGCCAAATGCACCACTAAATCATGTCCCCAAGAGCCACATCTACATACCTTTACCTCCAGGGATGGTGATTCCACCACTTCCCTGAGGAGCCTGGTCAAATACTTGACAATCCTTTTTCCTAATATCCATTGTTAGCCTCCAGTGGTGCAACTCTCCCGTCTCATCGTTCCTCTCATCCTGTCGCTTGTTACCAGGAAGAGGAG